TACCTGAAACTCACCCTAAACCGAAAGCTGTTGTGCAAAATTGGCCCCTGCTTCGTACATGATGGTGATTGCGACGGTACTCATGATGATGATTATGATGATGATAATGATGATGATGATGATGATGATGGTGATCGTGATGATGATGATGATGATGATGATGATGGTGGTGATGGTGATGGTGATGACGGTGGTGATGATGATGGTGGTGATGATGACGATGACGATGATGACGACGATGACGATCACGATGACGATGATGATGATTCTTTCGCAGTGGCGCCCTTCTCTTTGTTCCTCAGTTCCCTGCTGGAGCCGGCTTGGAAGACTCTGCTCGCACTTCAACTGCCGCCAAAAGGAGCTGGTAAGTTGCTTTGCTGTTGCCGCCCTGCTGTCGCCCCAAGGGAGCCGTCAACTGACACCGCAGCTGCATTTCCAATTGTTATTCCTAATGTGCCGACGCCGTGGCATACCTTCTGGGTAGCCCAAGCTGCTTCTAGTGCTTGTACGTACGGGTGTTACCGGTAGGGCCGCTTCCCGAAGCCTGCATCTCCGCCATGGAAGCGGCTGCAGTTCGCACCTGGCAGGTTTTCCCCGACTCACACCTTCCCCAATCCAAAGCACTTGCCATCCAGACCTTTGCTGGTGCAAACAAGTTCACGGGTAGCTATCCAGGATCACCAAGGATCACCGATGCAGTGTCAGAAGCCGGCACAAGTCCTCTGAACCTCAAATCGCAGAGATTTCAAGAGCCCAGATGATGTGCCAACCCAGATGGCGACACCCATTGCAGCGCTGAAGCGTCAGCGGTGCCTCAGACACACGGGCATCGAGATCAAACGCGGGACATGGAAAAAACCAGCGTTGCACCCCTGCATGTTGAAAGACAGCAAGCCCCACATGCAACGAACTTGATTCAGGCAACTACATCCCAGAGATGCATGCATACTTGGACGGTTTAGGGTTTAGGGTTTAGGGTTTAGGGTTTAGGGTTTAGGGTTTAGGGTTAACCCGCGCGAAATTTACACCAACAGTCCGACAAGAGCCATGTAAACCCAAGCTCCCAAATCGGAGCCCGGCGCTTTGGGGCGCGGGCAGGCCCCCGAAAGCTACCCCGCTCGGTGCATGCGGCCGCGGCTTGTGGCTCCGGCGTGGCTTTGCGGGGTTACGCTTGGGAGGCATCTTTGCTGCGATCAGGCCTGCGCTTGATCTGACGTGACAGTGACATGGCGTCAGCACATTGGGCCCTGGACTGCATGAAGCCGGGGAGATGTAGGTGGTTGCACCAAGGGGTTCAATGGGTTGTCAACGACGATCATGTGGCTCTTGAACATGGAAGGCAGCTGGACACAACACCAGGTCATCCGCTCTTCCCGAGCTTTCCAGAGCAGGTAGAGATTGCAAGCTGGATGCGACACCACATGCCCGAGTCGACCCTTGCTGCGCACCCTTAACCCACTCGACACTCCCGTCCAGCATCGACACGCTGCATGAACCCCTGACCAGGTGCCTGAGCCATCTCGGATCAGCTTCACCTTCACCGCTCGGCTAGCAAGGCAGTGCAGGCTGAGACATGCACAGGGGATTTCAGTCCGGGAGTCCAATCTTTTGGTGATACTAGTCCGATGCCTGCAAGGACCGGCGATTGCATCGTGCAGCATGGCTACAGTCAAACACCCCAGGAGCAGAAAGCACACAGCCGAGATGGCCACTGGTGCAAGCACTTCTTTTCCATTCCGCCACGTGGGCTCCGACTTGCTTCCGCCAGGTCCTGCAACTCGGGTCGAACAGGGCACGCAGACACCAAATGTTGCTGGGAATACGAGGCCCGAATGACTGCAAGCCTGCAGAACGGAGAGGCACCGGGTGGCAAACAAGGAGTCGCTCCGATGGGCTTGCTTTGGTGGGTTTTTAATGTGAACAGATACCACGTCTCTTGAACGAGATTGTCAGCAAAATGAGCGGTGCATCCAGATGCCACTGGGGGTGCAGGACATGACCACAGGCCCGGAATCTGTTGTTGTTGCTTCTGGCACTCGTGCAGCCATTCGTGCAGCCATTCCTACAGCTGAAATCCCAGTGTAAATCAGATCACATGCATATAGACTCATATAACGACTTCCCCAGGTCTGAAGCAGGCAGATGCTAACGACCTTGCTTCGACTCGGTGATGTCATCCTCGAGTGGCTTCAGAATGCCTCTCCGGCCCCTTCCCCTTCAAAGGCGCTCTCCGTCTCTTCTCCGGGTCCCGGCAGTAGTCGGCGCGAAGCTGCAGCTTCGCGAAGGACTGTCCGAGCTTCGCCAGGTCCTGGAGGCCGCCCTTCAAAGCCCTTCAGAGGCTCTGAGCCGGAGCCCACACTGGGTTCTTTAACTCTAGATCTCTTTTTTTACTCTCGACTAGACTCTCAGACCGAGCGGCCCCAGGCTCAAAGTCTCCCGGAGCCACACGCACCGCACTGGCGATCAGAGCCTCGCTTCGTTCCAAAGGTTTTAGTGCTCCGAGCTTTTCCCATGCGCCGGCGCCGGGCGGCTTTCCGTCCAAGTTTGTGGAATCAGAGTCATGAGACGGAAGCGACAACAAACTCAAACCTGTAGCCAGGCTTTCGTCTCTCCTTTGCCTCCCGCAGCGCTGCGGAAGGGCCGGGGAGGCTGGCAGCTGCATGGGCCAAGCGAGCGAGATGCTTTGGCCCAAAGTGGCCTCAATCTGCATCTAACCGTCTAACTCAGATGAGGCTTCAATGAGTCCGCAAGGATGTTCGAGAAAGGTTTTGCTGCACCTCTTCTGCTTTGCAGCTGATATTCGGAATGTATCTGAACAGACACGCAGCATGCAACGAGGACTGCTTGTTGTTCCTTCTGGAGCTCGCAGTCGTTCCCCACAGCAACTGGTAAGTTCAACTGTCCTGACTGAAGCGGTTCTCTGCCGTGTACGTTCTAGACGGCTTGCGAATACTCCGAGTTCGTGAAGAACCGGTATGGGTAATGTCTGGGGTCGTTCCTCTTCTTCCAGTTGCCGCTTCGGTTGCAGCTGTCTCCGAAGAACTGATGGCCGGAAAGGCCAACACTCCAGTCAGGCCCCCGCCCCACGTCAGCTGCGCAAGAATCGTCGGCTCCAAGGCAGACAGCAGCCCTGCAAATGGGAGAGGAACGGAGGCATCCCGTAAACCCGGCTCCTGGCTGCTCGCTGCTACGACTCTAGCTTCTTTCCTTCACGACAAGCTGCTCTGCCCATCTTCTGGCAGCAGCTCGGCCAGGCCCCAGAGAACGGAGGAGAGCGTCGCCTAAGAGACAGGGTGGATCAAAGCGGCGATGCTTCCAACATGCTACATCATGCTACAAGCTTGGCCCCCACAACCCACACCTCAAAGCACTGCGCATGCAAGTCGAAGCTGCCTTGACCGCTTGAAACGCCTGGGCTGCTAGATGCAAGTCGCCGGTGAGAGCGGAGTTCTCGACGTTTGGTTGTCACATCGAAGCCTCGGCCGTGTCCATTCTGGGTGGCGTGGGTCATAATGCGGAAGCTTTGTAGTTGCGATAGCCGCTTGCCGTAACGAAGGAAGGCAAGCGCATGGTTGAAACGGGGTCACGAAGCACAGTTTACACTTCTGTCATGCGAGTTTTGCCCGGCATGGTTCCACTGCTTCTGCAAACACTGCTGAAACTGGTGTCACAAGAAATGCAACTACCGCAACAACCAAAAGCCGTGCATCATGATATCACAATCTGCTCCGCGGACATATCCAGCGAGGCAAAGTCCGAATTCCACAGAAATCGTGCTCCGAGAGCAACACTTACACACCAAGCAAGCACTCCGCAACACGACTGGAGCTGACACGAGCTCACAAGCTGCACACGGCACTGAGATGCATGCTGTGGGTGTGTGAAGTGTTCGCGTGCACGGTGCGCGAAGGCATTCCTGAATCTGGCTGTTGGACCTCAAGCCGAGGTGCTTAACCTCCTCAGCTGCCAACGCAAGCAGCGAAGTGCCCTGCACGAGGGCTTCAGAATGCTTCAAATCTTCAAGCTTCCGGACGGGATTGCCACCCCTGCCCGCCACCTCCTGAGTGACCAATCCCAGCTTGGCCACTGAAACCGTCAAGGAGGCCAGCGATGCCTGCGGTGATGCCACCAAGTGAGACTTTGGAGAGGAGGCTGCAACACTTGATTCACCACGCCTGCTAGCAAGGACCTTGCTTGCATGCCACTATGCGACAGATAGTCTTACCCGTACAAGCCTGAGCCTCTCGAAACCCGAATAGAATCCGAATAGAGGCCTCTGGCAGCTCGGCCAGACCCAAGGAGCTGAGCCGCGCGGCAGCCGGGAGAACTGTGTCTGCCTCCCCGGCTTTCAGAGTCAAGGAGTCAAGGGCATGGAAGCAACGAGGCTTCCCTGCTTCCAAGGCACTCGCCTAGGCGCGGTGTGCGTTTCCGACCAAAGTCGTCTTCCCTCCGCCCCACCCTCAACTCCCAAAAGGCCCCACACTTGGCGAAGATGCGAGGCTTTGGGTTGCTCACGATCCCGATGAGTGCAGGAATGCGAGAGCATACAAGGGACGTGAAGCCAGAGTAAGACCCACCGGTTGACTTTCTGCTATTCCCGTGCGCCTGAACAGCGACCTCCGCTGCAGCCCAGAGCACGGTGGAAAGCTGGGAGCTGTTAAACTCCCCAAGGCGCCTGCGCACCTCGCATCTCGGCTTTCGTGATCCAAGACCTCGCCCCCAAAGTCAAAGACAGAATCGGGCCTCGGTGAGGGCTGCCTGCCAGAGCTTTCCAGCTTCTACCAGTCACACAATGCCTAGCAGAGTTCCTTCGGGATCACAGAGTTACCAAGACTTCAGTCTGCCTTCATGGAAGATGAATAGCTAGCAGATCCGGCCTCCAGAAGTGAAACCCCCACTGTGCCTCAGTGTGGTCGGAGTGGCTGTGAAGCTACTGCCAAGGCATGCTACTGTCTTGGTTTTGGCATGGGCAAATGACATGCAAATCCAAGATCACTGTCACCATCACGGCCGAGCTTTGGCCGAAAGCAGTTTCCGCTGACTGGTGGAGTGCACCACGTTCAGCCCACGGATGGACTGGGTTCCGGGCCGAAGTGTCGCCGGCCCTGCACGAGCGCCTTGGAGGTCGGCCGTGGCTTTACCGGAACCGGAAGAACCCCCTCCACCGGTCCACCGCAGCTGAGATTCCCAAGACAGCCGAGAAAGCTCCGCAGACGTGGCCTCGGACAGCCTGGGGCCAACCTGCAAGGTCTCTGCTGAACCCACGGAGAGCTTTGGGCCTCTGGAGAGTGGAAGCCTTGGGAAGCCTGTCAACTGTTGCGCTTTGGCCAGAGGCAGCCCAGACACCTCATCCGCCATTCGGCACATTCGCTCACCGCCACATGCATCCAGTGCAGGCGCGCGGGCACAGGCCCAGAGAAGGGCGATCTGCGTGGAGGTCTCGAGATTCTGCGGTTTTCGCAGCTCCAGGTCCTCCATGAGTCGGGCCTGGGCAAGCGAGATTCCTGCTCCCTCCGATTTTGTCCATCAGACTAGATGTACTTATGAGTTTACTATGTCAAACGCTGCAAGGGGAGTGATTCAGTTTGTTCAAGCTCGCTGTCCTGTTTTTGCAGAATCTGTTAGGCTTGGCTACTTCAAATCGAGGAGATTCTGCCCATCCATGGCCTGTCATGCCAACTCAACCTCGTCAGGAGTCCTGCTGCGACGTCTGTCAGTCTTGGCTGTCTCGGACCTGTCTTGTTCTGCCGCTGATGCTGCTGCCTCACTGGTTCTGCGCTGAAGATTTTGTTGCTACGTAGGAACTCAAACTCCACTAGCGTAAGGGAGCGACTTCCCCCGCTATCCTTTGCTTGCGAGCACGAAGAACGCTTCGGACGAGCTTTAGACGTTAGACTTGCAGGACCCTTGTTCCATCTTGTTCCCTTGTTCCTCTGCCCGGGCACCACCGAGAGAGCCCCGGCGGGTCCCAAGTTGGCCAGGGCAGCGGACACCTGGTAGGACAAGGACAAGAAAGTGAGTCTGCAGTCAGCTTGGGTTCTGCATCTTAACCCCCCCTTCCCCGACCTGGCGCAGCGTTGCCTCTTCGAAATTCGGAGTCCGGGCCGTGACTGCCTGGGCCGAAACCCTTGAGGCTGAACCGCCTAAACTTCACCCTTCTGCATGTCCTGTTCTCTCGACTCACGCGTGGTCACGTGGCAAGCCTCAAGCAGCACACTGCTGGCAGGCGGTTGCCGAGCCTTGTGGACTTGTGGAGGGCTGGGTTGAGCTTGTTAGGTCTTCTGCTTCTAGGGGTCTGAGCCTTTCGGGGGATCTGCACCAGCGTGCTTTCCGCGCTGATGAAACCCGTTGCTCGGCTGACGGTTGTGGGAGGCAAACAGATAACAGCACAGGGGTCGAAGAGGCATTGTGGCACTGAGCTAACGTAGATGACATCGAACCTCAAGTTGCCAAGCCTGGCAGGTCAACCAATGTTTCTACTGCAAAAGAACTCGACTGCTGCAAAGCCACGAGAACCATGGCGGAGAGGACCTCGCCGGGATGGAGCTGGGAAGAAATGTAAGGACGCTGCAGGAGGTCATGAGCTAAAATGCTCCGAGACTCTGTGACACTGGCGATGCATTCACGATCTCATGTCTCTAAGGTAGAACCCATGGGCCCCTAGTATGGGCCCTTAACCCTGGGACCCTAATATACCTACTATGTACCTTATATATACCCTTAAGGGACCCTAGAATCCCCTAAGGGCCCATGTTAGGGGCCCATGGGTTCAACCTAAGAATGTCAAGATGGCTCAATGCCATGCATCTTCCAACTCAGCCTGACCCTGGAGTTCTTCTACCTCAAATCCAGCCAAGGGGAATCCAGCTCATTTGCGTGGGGTTTTTTACTGGGGGTTAAGGGAGCCGAAGAGCTCATGTACATATTTTTTTGAGACGTACATCTGCTGCGCCTTTTTTCAAGCAAATGTTGTGCCACACTGCCAGGCTGCTGCTTCAATGGTGCGGCTTCCGAACAGATCATCCCGACTAGACCAAAGAACCCAAAGAGAGTGAGGGTGAGAGTGAGACTGAGAGTGACAGGCAGAGTCCGCAGGTGCGGGTGTGGGTGTACATGCATGTCTATGGACTGCTAAGATGCCCCAGCCAGTGTGGCGTCTGACATTGAGGCCACGACCTGCCATACCGTCACTCAACGCAAGACGTCTTCGCTTGGAGCACCGAGTGTCGTTCTTAGCCAACGTCCCGGAGTTCCGGATCCCCGCCTCTGGCTGCTCGGCTGCTCGGAAGGCCTCGGTGACCGAAGGCACCTTAAGGCCAGAACTGAGCTTCTGAGCCGCAGCGCAGCCGCGGGAGCCTCTGCCGCGGTGCTCCGCGCGGCCGCCAGGGCAGCGAGCAGCGGCGCCAGGTCCGTGCCGAGGCGCGGGATCCTCCGAGCGATGTGGAGCTGCTTTCGACCGCGAGCTTTCCCTCCGCGGGCCTCTCCGTGACCGTGGTGGCGATGGCCTGCCAGGCCGGATTCTCGGGGCGGGCCAAGCCTGCGAGGCTCCTCGGACTCATTTTGCGAGGGCGGCTTGGAGTGCAGTCTCAGAGTGTGGGCCCGAGTTGAGAGTGTTGCGGTCCCTCACCGTGCATCGAAACCCACATCTGAGCATGAATGAATATTAACGCGCACCAGGCCCAAAACAATGCGTGGGAAGATGTGTTAGCGAGCGCTTGTGTAGCGAACATCTGGACTGCGTCTAACAAGTCGGTAGTAGAACACGCAAGGGCAACACCTGCGCCAAACCAACGAAAACCCTGAACTCAACGCCTTATGCGCTGTCCGCCCCTTTCCACCATTCACCCAATGCACTCAAAAACAAGAACCCGAGTGCTCCTGGCCAAGCGCAGGAGTTCCTGTGGGTAGGGGGCAATAAAACTGTTGAGCTCAGGTCTCGGGGTCAAGGCAGCTTCGAACCTCTATGCACAAGTGTGCTCCGGACAAGAGAACATCTTTCTCAGAGACAAGCCCAAAAGGAAAGCCGCAAAGCCTTGTCTGGCAGCTGGGCGGCATGGTGCTCCACTAGTCGCCTCGAGTAGCCAAGACAGGTCAAGTGAAGCCTTGTGGCCGTGCGCCCCATGATGCCCCATGTAACATGGGGAGAAAAACTGTCGTAAACTTCGAGCCAGAAGGACAGGAGATCCAGGAGCTCGCGCTCGATGCTCTCAGAGTTTTCCTTGGGCCTCGGAGTTTTCTCACTGCAGGACAGCATACAGCATATAGCCACAGCAATGGCCGCGCCTTCTCTATCCCTCCATGCCCACACGACGACCTTTGAGCCTTTTAACCAAGTCGCAGAGCCGCGAGCTTCTGCAGTGCCAGACTCACGTGACCGGCATCGAGGATATGGAAGTGCTTGTCTCGGCCAGCGCTGTCTGCGGTCAGTTACCCTACAACCTGTCGAACTTGCCTGAGGGTTTCTGGATATGCACCAAGGCATGACATCATCAACCCTCGCAACAGGAACAACAGAAGGTCTCCTGCTGAAGGCCTCACATAAGTGTCGGTCTACCAAGGCTGCTCAGCGACCCACTGCAGCCAGCACCCTTTTGATGCTGCGCGCTCTTTGCAGCTCCAGCTGAACCAGCGGCGCCGACGCGCGTGCGGACTTTCCCAGGGCACGCATCCTGTGGGTACAAATTGCAGACCCTGTGATTGTCTGCCCCGGAGCCCCAAGCCCATCAGCCCAAGGTTTGAGAAACAGAGGAGACATCAGCAACCTGGGACTTAGGGCGTAGGGGGCATGCCATGTCTCGAGGAGTTCTGTCCTGCTGCGCCCTGACCGGCAGTGTAGACAAACTCAAACGCATCGCACAAGCTTCTACTGAACTTAAACTGCAAAGCTGCGTGGTATCGCAGTATCTCAGTGTGTAGACGTTGTGATGTTTTTCATGTCCTTCGTCCTGTTAGCTTGTATTTTGAGCACCAGTTCAACACACGCTTGAGCAACAGACTTACACAAAAGCTTTGTGCGCATGTGCGTGTTCGAACAAGCAGCTAATACACGATGCACGAGTACAAGCGCACCATCGGAAAGGGCTCCGCATCTTCGATCAGAAGCTTGGGATCCTCGCCGGCACCTGAGGCGCAAACTGGACTTTCAGGACGCGAGCAGTGTGAGGTGCAAAACCGCGTGCCAACTTTCCTGAATCCACACTCCCTCCCACCTGCAAGAACATCAGCCAGGATCTGCCGCAAGGAGATCTTGCTGGGGCCCAAATTCTCCTCCAAAGGCTTCCAAGTGAGCACGAACACAACAGACAGAACCGGGGATGAGTACCAACGGGGAACTGACTCATGCAACAGAGGTCCATCTGCTTTCGCAGGCGACAGAATGCATGACAGGCTTGCAACGGCTTTTGGAACCCAAACATGGGTTCTGGGTAAGGGCAAAATCTCAACGTTCGCACTGGAAGCCCCATCAAACCTAATCTCCTTCTTGTCAAGAAGAGCACGGCCATACTCGAGCACCTCTCATCAGATCGGGGCTTGGGATTTCTCCACAGGTGCTACTTGAAGCCTCGGATGCAGCCTCGTGACAGAGCAATGCAGATTACAATATGCACCGGATGATTAAATTTCGCCTGTGGGTCCAAGGCGATCATTGCCAGTGGCACTTGGCCGCCCATGCGCTCTGAAAGCGATGTCGCCTCGGGGCGAGGGCGCTCCTTTCACTCTAAACCTGGATTTTGCCTCTTCTTGTCTTGGTGCATGCGAGGAAAACTGTCAAAGGTACGTGGTGCGGGTTTGGTCGGCTATACAGCCTGCGAATCGTTCAGGGTTTCAGGTCTTCGCTTAACGTGTCCACCGGTGTTCGGCTAACGGCACGCGTGCCAAAACCGTGCATTTCTCCAAAGCCAAATTTGCCTGTGCCCTTCCACGCTTCATCCACGAATGATCCTCTCGTGTTGTTCTTTCGGGCCGAATTCCTCTTTGCCCTTTCCAGCTTCATCCTTGACCGTTCCTTTCTTTCCTGTACCTTTCTGTGCCTCCAGCAACCTTGCCGCACGGGCATCGAGATGTTGCCCCAGGTCACCACATCGTGCAGCTTCACAGCTGCAAAAGCAGATGCAGTCGCACAAATCTCGAAAACACCACTCTGCAGCCGCTCCTCCACTCCATGATTGTGTCCACCGCCCTGCGCCAACGGACCCCAGGTCAGGACCTGTCCCTCAGTCTTCAAGGCAGTAGCGTGGTGCCAACAGCGCCGTGTGTCCGCGACGTTCGTGCTATCCAGTAGCATGACCCCTTATGACGACGTCCCCGTGGGACTTCAGAGCTGCAAAAGCACGAGTATTGCAAAAAAACTCTTTCACAGCGCTCTGCAGCTGCTCACGGCCTTTGTGTTACGGCCTTTAACTTCTTAGCATTTTCGTAAGGTTCCTGCGGGATTCACTCCTTAGGGTTTGTTGTCTTTCGCAAAAGCTTCGTGCGGGGTTTACTGCTTAGGGTAATCGTCTTCGGCCAAAGGTTCCCGAGGGGTTTACTCCTTGGGGCTTTTGTCCTTCGTAGAAGCTTCGTGCCGGGTTTACTCCATAGTGTCTTCGTCCTCGGCCACAGGTTCCTGCGGGGTTCACTCCTCAGGGTTTCTCGCCTTTCCTCGAAGCTTCGTGCTGGGTTTACTCCTTAGGGTTTTCGTCTTCGGCCAGAGGTTCCTGAGGGGTTTACTCCTTGGAGTTTTCGTCTTCGGAGAAAGGTTCCTGCGAGGTTCCCTCCTTAGGGTTTGTCGTCTTTCGCAGAAGCTTCGCGCTCGGTTTACTGTTTAGGGTTTTAGTCTTCGGCCAAAGGTTTCGTCTTTGGCAGAAGCTTCCTGCTGGCTATACTCCTTGGGGGTTTGTCGTCTTTCCTAGAAGCTCCGTGCTGGCGCCACTGGGTTCGAGCTTGGTCTGCTTTGAGGGGTTTGCGGGTTGGGCTCGAAGGCTTGGGGTGGGGGCCCGGGGTTCAGCAGGGCTTCAGAATGTGGGTCTGCGGTGTTCGGTCAAAGGCTTGCGCTGGGAGAGCCAGAATCGGACGGACGGACGGACGGTGCACACGGCCTTCGTTTACCGATGTCATGAAGTCTTCTTTCTATGTCCGCTGCGGTTTCGATCTCACGATGTTTTTAGATGTCGACGGACGGACGCCTTCGTTTATCGATGTCATGAAGACTTTTCCAATGTCTGACTACGGTTTCGATGTCGTGAAATGATTTTAGATGTCATTGTTGATGTTGTGGAGTGTTTGTCCGATGTCCACGCGTCTTTGTTAGATGTCCAGTCGCGCAGTCCCCCTTGGATGGCAAGTCGAACTCCCCTTCACTCCGCCCTCTCCAGCACAAGGTCTGAAATCTCCGCCACAGTAGTGTGCAACACAGTTGCCACTGCAGTACCGTTCCTGATGCAAGGGCAACATGAATGCTGGCCTTACTGCCCTCGCCCTTCATCTTGCCAGAGTGAGCAGACTTTTTTTGTAGACGTTCATGGTTCATGGCCGAAGCTGACATGACAGGTGCTGGTGATGCGGGTGCTGACCGGGTGCCCCGACGACCTCCAGCACGGTGCCGGGTCCTGGAGCACCCGTACCTCAGCGAGTTCCCAGGCTCTAGGCCCTCTAGGTCCTCAAGTCCTCAAGGCTCTGGGCTATCCGAGGGCCCTGGCTGTCCACCTCCGTCACCATCTCAAAAGAAGACGCTGGCACTCTAAGGCTAAGATGGCTAAAGGCTAGGCTTGGTTTAAAGGCTTTGGCATGCGCTTGAAGGCCGGCACGGGCTGTGGGAATTTGCAGATGCTCTTAGTCTTGTCATTAGAAAAAGCCTCTACAGGTGCTCACGATTTCACGGCACAAATATTTTCGCTTCGGGCTCGGGAGAGGTCGGAATTGCTGCCTGCTAGCGGCTGCAGATCGAACTCGACACAAGTGAAATGGCAGACGGCGGCGGCATGCGAACATGAAGAGCTTCGCTTCGGTTACGAAGCCGAGGCCGGCGTCTAAGGCATCTGGATCGAAATCGAACATGTCATGCCACTTCAACACGTTTCAAAAGCAGTCGGCACTCCGATCTCGGGGGGCCGCTTTCTTAAATGCGGCGGCTCCACAGAGCGACACGGGTTTGGGCCCGGCCCTGAGAAGCGTATGGGGTCACGCCGAAGGGAAGAGTCTGGGCCAGAGCTCCCTACACCCTTCCTCAGTTTTCTTTAACCTTCTTCATCCTTCTTCCCTTCTTTCTGCTGTCTTGTGCAAGGGCCCTGCCCGGAGAGCAGCTTGTTCGGCCCTCCGGATGGACCTTTGGCAGGCACTGTCCCGTTTCGGTGTCGCGCCGAGTGTCTAAGGCCAGGCCAGCTTTTCGGGAGCCTGCGAGGCCGCCTGCGAGTCGCAGAGCCCCAGCTGTGGACCCTGCGAACTGCAGGCGAAAAAAGGAGATATGCCCATCTTCGTGGAGGCCGTTAGCCTGTAGAGAAGCTACGAGTAATTATGAGAAGCTTGCAAGCCATCGATGTGCAATCCGTGCAAATCCGAAGAGGGGGCAGAGATGGACTAAGAAAGGGATCAAGACCGCTTGCTGCACCTGAGCGAGACACCTGATGATGCAAAGCTCCGTCTTCACATGACATTGGCATATCGGATGCCAATTCCCATCCTTGCCTGTGGCAAAGAGGGCACCAGGCTGCAAGGGGCAGCAGCAGTCTCTGATAGCATTCCAAGCGATTGCAGATTTTGCTTCGACAAGTCGGTATCGAGGGCACAGACAAGGGCAGTCGCATCTGTGGGGAAGACGGGTCTGCAATCCCAGCTCTGTACAAGGCTCTCATGCGCTTGAGGCAGCAAATCACCGTTGCAACGGCTCTGCGACCTCGGAGGCTCGAGCTCAGGATCCCCAAATCTACTACGTTACTACGAGCGTCTACGAGCGTCTACGAGCACTGAGCATCGAAGCTTTGTCTGGGCTCCCAGCTGTGAAGCTCTAGGCCCTAGGCCCTAGGCCCCGAGCTTGGCAGGCTCGGGCAAGCACCCTGTCCATCGGCCGTGCCACTTGGAGTAGAGCGCCGGGGCAGAAGAAAAACTGATGCGAGCTGGAAGGTCGGGCATGGAAGCTGGGGCTGGGGCTGGGGCCTTTAAGGCCAGGGGAAGGGGAGGCTCAGGCTCGGCCTGCGTCTTCACGTCGACCAGCTCGGGGGTGTGCGTCTTCTCCAAGAGAGTCTCGCTCTCCAGAGAAAGCAGGGTCTTGGGATTGGGCACTGCCGCTGCCTTTTTCACGAGCAGTGTTGGAACCTGTGCAAGCTGCATTTTCAGCACGGCACCGCACCACTTGCGATGCAGTGGAGACCAGAGTGCTGGAGGTGGGCTGCAAAGGCTTAACACTGGTGGAGTGCGCTGTGGTTTCTCTTCCACTTGTGCTTTGGTCTCTGTCTCATCCGTGGTAGCAGTGGCTGCGGGCTGCAAACTCTCTGCCGGCTGGGAGGGCTGCACGGTCTGCGCGGTCTGTGCGGGCTCCGGCTGGAGGGCCTTCTGGCATGTCCAACGCCGGTGCATTGGCGACCAAAGGGCTGGGGAGAGGCTCGGGATGAGCTTCTTGCACGGGTTGGGGCTCGCCGGGAGCGGCACCGCTGTGCTTTGCTCCGTTCCTTCCACGGGCTTCTGCGGCTCTTCGGGCAGCTCAGCCTTGAGCTTTGCAGCTGGGGCGGCGCGATCCTCAGCCGTCTTGGGACTGACAACCTCAGGCGGAGGCGACAGCTTCAGGAGCGAAAGACTACCCGAAACCCCAACGAATGTCTTCTCGAGTCAATCAGAAGCGAGCAAAGCGCGGAATTGGCGACCCAGCTCCCCAGCAAGCCACCGGCCTTCTCTTCCTTCTGCGGCAGCAGTGACTTGCCCGGACTGCTGAACCTCGGCCGTGCCGTGAGCACTTTGCAGGGCCGATGATTGATATGGTCCATCCCTGTCCCGAATGTGCCCTCCCACGACGAAGGAATTGCTTCAAGCAGCGGCAGGATGCTGGAAGATGAAACCGATGACATTGAGACGTCCGACTTCGGCTTCGCCTGCAAACCGAGGCCGAGATGAGGGTGACAGCGAATTCCGGTGCAAACAGAACTCTCCGCAAGCCTCCTAGACCCGACCCGGCCGATGACGCCGGCCCTACCCCGAAGCGTCATCGTGCCGTTGTGTCCTGGCCTTGGCGCTGACGGGAAAGCCACCCTTGGCCACAGCCTGTGCGTGTCCGTGCTTGGGGCACTTAGACTTGATGGCTCGAAACTGTGAATGTCAGCATTCGGACGAGGAACGGCAAGAGAAGTCAAGTGACCATCGTTAAGACTTAGAGGCCCAACCCTGCGACCTGTAATCTCGAGCTCGGCCCCCAAGAGCATCTAATCTAATGGAATACAGTGGGCTGTGCTCCTTGGATAACTGAGCCCTGGCCTTGGGTTGCAGGGCTTTCGCTGCCTTTTTGAGCTCAGCTGTCTGAGCCTCCCGGAAGAGTGTGGGAGGCTTCTGGGCTTCGGCCCTCTTAGGGCAAAGATGAGCCTGCGGAAGTCCGAAAACTGAACGTGAAGCCTTCCTCATCCCAGTGCCAGCATCTCTGACGTTCTTGAAGGAATCACGGACATTTTTACTCTTGCGACTCGAATCAGCACTCCCAGGACATCTGCGGTCCTCAAGCTGCTTTGTAAGAAACTCCAACCTAGCACTAACCTGACACTACCGTCTGCCCTGCAAGCTTTGGAACCTTCCGGTTCTGAGTGTCCTTCGAGGTCCTGGTCCGCAGGATTTTCGTTACACAGGAGCTTGCGTTGTTCCGTTGACGTTGCTTTTCGCTCGGATCGCATCTGTGATTGCGGGGCACCATGCAGCATTGCGCAGACAAGCCCAAAACGATTCCCCTTTCCATCCTCTCTGGTGTGGGCTCCCGTTGCCAGTCTTTCTTGAAGGACCTCGGACGTGTGGGCCGCTACGGCAGAGACCCTGCTTCAGGCTGGCAGTACGGGTTTTTGGAGTCTTCATGCAGCTAGCAGTAGCCTTTCGTACTGACAATGCCTCTCAGATCCGACTTTCCTCAAACACCGAAAGGTCCATCCCGGTCTCTGGAAATGCCGGCATTACATGAGCTCATGTGACACCTTTCAGATACACAGAGCTGTGTGCACTCGGGCGCGGGCCGCTCCTCCAGGAACTTGAGCTCCTGAGTCGTTCAGCACACTACCCTGGGCCCAGCGCGTAGGAGTGCAAGAGAAGGGCCAGCAAGGGCAACGACAACGTGTCCTAAATAGCCGTATGCTTCACTGACTGTAATCCCTCATTCTCAACAGATGTCATTTCATGAAGCGAGGAGTCGAGGGAGACACCAAAAAGTGCATGCAGATCAGAACAGGTCAGATATACACCCGTTCCATGGCAGTAACATGAACATACACACCTCACCTCCCCGATAGGAACCCCTTTGGGAGCAGTGGGTGGGAAGCCAAAGAACACAAGGCCCCGCATTCGAGCATAAAATGCTATCACACAGGACCTTCACTTTTAGACATGCATAGTCCCTACCCCATCTTCCTTTTTACGCATGCTCACATCAAGCCTCGGAATAACAGAACTCTCAAGACTAGTTGTCGCGACGAGGCGACCGGTGAGAACTTACCTGTCCAAAGCCGAGACCTCTGAATACCCAAAACGGAACAAGACTTCTTCCTTACCGGTTTAACTGCTTTGTGCCCTCTCCTGAAGCGGCGAAGCGCCCGCGCCGCCGATGATGTTAGCATTAGTCGGGCCGATGACATTCGTGTCGAAGTTCAATCGGGGCTCCTCCTGAGAAGCCCCAAAGGCTGCATCAGGCATCCTCCAACACGAGACCTTACCGAATCCGAAGCTGTGGAAAAATGTCAGCCAAGTCCAGTCCTTCCTATCTCTTCCCCGCTCCCTCGAGTTGTCAACACCTTCCATCCCACTGCCACAACTTTCCAGGTTTCAAGAACCAAGAACCTTGACCCACAACCGAACTGCCGAACTGCTTTGAGTCCCCCTCCCGGGAAGAACACATCCTGTCCTGGAAGCGACATCAAGAACTGCCGACTATTAAAAAAAAAAAGCCCCGTCCCACGCTGCCTCGGTCTTGGATTTCCTTGTACGGCCCTGCAGGCATGGTGCGGTGGTTTGCTTTCCCGGTCTTCGGCTCAGCCCAAAACCCAGGAGCCTCCACGGAGAGCTCGGCATCATCCTCTGCCGTCCACCGGCAGCAGTGGTGAGTGCTGGGGTTAGCACCTGCAAGGGCTCTGCACATGATAAGGTCGATTCATGCAGACGTGTGCCACACTCCAGTCAGAGGCCCCCACAAGCGCTGGTGACATTCCCCATCGCTTCGAAAGTGCGGTAAAGCTTGGCTAGCAAATCCAATAATTTGGCGCAACACCGTCTTGGACACGAGTTCCCTTCTCACGTTCGGGCTCGCACCTTTTCTGAGAATGCAGACAACCATAATTTTCATGATCTCGGCTTTTCCTAACAGTTCGAACCAAGAGGGACAACAGACATCTCTTGGTGGCTTGCAGGGACATTAACAAAAGCGCAGCACAGAATTCTCTCTGACCTCCGACATCATGCTTGTGAAACACGAAGCAGATTGCAAGTAGCGCATTCCGAAGTACATCCACGGCTTGATTCCGACCCACGACTTGTCCTGACATGCTGACCTGCATTCACGTCCACGAACTGCCTGAATCAACAGGAACCGAGCCATTTTATAATAACAGAGCCGAGGGGGTTCTCTTGCGGGTGTCAGGCTGTGCCGGGGAGGGCTTATGCCCAGATCTCGTCTTTTCAAAGCATGTGCTGAAAGGACACAACATGACGCACCGCACGCGACGTCTTCTTCGTCGGCAAGCACGACTAGGGCTTCGGAATCAGATTCGTGACCTTGACTGCCTGCTCCTTGCCGGTGGCATAGACTGTCACGACCTGGGCTGCTTGTGAGCACGCGACTCCTCGCACGACCAATTACATCCACTGGTGTGAGACGACAGATCGGATCATGTGACAGAGACTTCTCTGGAAGATACCACGGTGCTCGCTCAGAGTCTTCTGCAAATTAAAGCGGACACATCGCCCTTCCGTCTTCCACTGAGGCAAACACTGAAGGATTCAAATTTGGGCATGTGGGCGACAAGTGGCCCGGCCATGGACTGAATTTGTGCTAACTCCACGCGTACTTGTACCGTCTCTGGGCATCCTGCAAGCCGCTGCTTCGATTCGTCGAAGGACTGCACAAGCCCTTCTTGTCCTCCACGGCCACGGTGACGTTTAAGATAAATCTTGCTCGACAAATCCATACGTCACGACACAAAGTGACACAAACAAATCGAACTCAGAACGGCATCTGGTGTGGTCTCTTGGCAACTGAGGCTCCGTTCAGCGCCTTTCCGGCATCAGTTTGAAGACCCCCTGCACCAACATGCATGTTGAAACATTGGGCTAGTCCGAGCGCTTGCTTTGCATTCTCTTTCTGACTCTCGTTTTGCACATCCTACCAGGTCGTCGATTGGCTGTGAGTGCCACCAAGCGGCGGATTTTCACCACGCTGCCCAGCAGGCGCTGTGTGGGGCACTGTTCATGCAGCACGCAAAGCTCCTCTGCGACAGACCGGATTGTGGTAGACACGGGTCTTGGACGTCGAAAACCGAAGCACATGCTTTTGAGCGGCACGGGCTTGCAAAGTGGACTTGACCTTTGTTGTCAACGTACAGCCTCCCAGAAGCTCGATCATCAATATTTGCATGTACCTGCCCCGCAAAAGGAGAGCAGCGCCTTTTGTCTTCCGGTAAACAGACAGTGATGGATTGGCATTTGATCAGAAATTGAAATGGGTGTCTGCCTTTTATGGAGCCCAACACCGAAAGCACACGTGCAACATCACCCTTTGCATGCTAATCATCGTATGGAGTATGGAACTCACTCAGCTACACAATGGTTGTCTTGGCCGTCTTGCCAATCTTCCTGAGGTCGACGGCACAGGGCTATCTTTACCAAATTTGTTCTGGGCGTCGCCACAGTGGTCTTATGCTCCTGGATCGCTTGCTGAAAGTATCTGGGGGAGAGGAAGTATGGGAAACCGCGCTTGTTCATGTGTTTGGCATGAGTTCTCTGGTATCGGCATGGCCACAACACGGGAACGACCTGTAATGATGACTCGAATCGCTGCGGTCGTATCGTCTACAACGTAAGAGTAGAGGCGTGCACACGGGGCATCGAGGACAACAAATATGATGTTGGGTGGCTCCTTGTCAGACAAGCGGATGCTCACCCAGCCGGTCTTTGGGCCGTCGCCTGCCGACTTGAAAGGCACTGCTCTCGGAAAAGAGGAGCCTCGGCTCCGTTCCTCCCCGTCCCGGTCTTTCCCGGCCTTCCAGAAGCCTCGGCTCGGGTGACAAAGCCTCTCAGCAAGGCGACCGGCTGCCTCCAAGGCACTTGTAGCAGAGTCCTTGGCAGCACAAGATTCGGCAGACAATCTCCTAACTCGATGGCTTCAGAAATCCGAAACCCTGGAGTTTCCTGAGAGGTCCAACACGAGCTCCGTTCAACGGTTTAGGGTAGGCTGAGCTCCACGACGCCTAATGCGTCCAATCTATTCAAAGCCAGCACAGCACTAATCACAACCACCACCACAACCACTGTCCCAGTGATACTGCCCCTTTCCACGCACCAGAAGATACCAAAAGCGTAGACAGCCATCCATCATCTATCAAACGTCATCCTGACCCTCATACTGCCTTGAGTATGCAGACGTCAACACAGACACGACACGAAAGCTTTCTGTGGAGTTCCAGGTGCGATCGCCCTTCAGCTGCACTTGCTCCAGGACCGAGCTCGTTGTGAGCCGTGCATCGCAAGCCGGTGACGTCCTTAACCAGGCGGGGCTTGACAGGTTGCCTACTGAGCCCTTGGTAGAGGCCTGCTCCAGGACCAGACCCAAGCAAGGAACAGCCCTAACTCGGCAACTGCGATGCTGAACAATGGAAGATCAAGCTCAAGACTTACTACTCACAAGACCACTGACATATCAGCGCAGCATCAAGGCAGCCCCTTCTCTGACGAGGATGCCTGTGCAGGACTCAAAGCTGCAAGCCTTGTGCTTCAGGTCTCAGTTTTTCGGGCCGGGCCGGGCTTTGGTGCTAATGGGTGGACTGGGCTCGCTCCTGGGGTCCTGGAGGAACCTTGGCACGCAAAGCGAGAAGCAGAGCCTCCTTTCTCGGCTCCCCCGATGACATGCCACCTGCGCATCTGAACGCCAGCACCATGTGACTCTGAAACAGAAATGTGTGGCCATGGCGAAGCCTGTTCCTGCCTGCATTCCTCAGCAACAACACCGGCCTCAGGGCTGGGCCCACGGGGGCGGCGCTCAGCTGCGCATGTGAAGCGAGCTGCCACATCTCGTCACCATACCTGCGACAGCCAACGATTTTCGAGAGCTACCCGCATGTGCCATCGCATCAGCACAACACTCATCTGTGAGCATAAAGAAGCAAGCCTGTGAGCAAGACTGAAGGCCAAGACACGAGATGCACGGAGTCTCTTGTTGCAACTCTGTACATATTTCTGATTGAAGGATCTTGACCCCGCTGCGATGCCCCCGGGGTGCACGCATGTAGGGTAGCCTTCGGCTTGCCTGGGTGCAACAATACCGGATGCACAAGGCCTGCGGTCTTTGAGCAGTTCCCGTGCAAGGATACTCCTTGAAGATTGACTACTTCGGCGGAGCTTCAGACTCCAAGTCAGGCCTTCCAGTTCGTTCGAGCTTCGCTTCCCTTGTTCCCAACACCGGCAGAAACCCGAAACCCGGCGGCAAAGCCTCGCCCCATTCCTGCCGATGTGCCAGGCATCACGTCCACCCTTCAGCCTTCGAAGGCGCTCGGGCGGGAAGCCCTTGTCCTGAGCTCGGAAGGTCGAGGCTTGAAAACCTTAAACCGCTCCTTTAAACCGCTTCAGAGAAATGCGCATGGACGCGTCCGAGGCCTCACTTTCCAAGCTCCTGCCGAGCGACCACCAACCACTGGCAGACCACGCCACAGCGGCTCTTTTCGACGCCCTTGTCCGTGTAGCACCTGAGAAACGGGCGCTTGCAGGGATGTGGGGCCCACCAGGGAGGCTCCATGCGGCCTGGAGGCACAAGGGGCTTGCTGTTTCGCCGGAGGGAGTCCAGCTTCTTGTCCTGGAAGCTCATGGGGAGCTGCTAGGCCCACAGGACTTTTAAGGCTTCGGGCCAGGTCGGGCTTCGCGAACATGATGGAGCCCGAGGACAGCTGGAAGGCGCCTGACCCAGCCAAACCACGGCTTCACTCTTTCGATTCGAGGGGGTCTTCAGGGACCCTCTTCGATTGAACACCCGTCCCTGCCTGGAAGTGGGCCGCGCTCCTGGATCTCAAAGTCTTCGCCTCGGATCTTCGTGACGATGTCTAACGGGGATGGCCAGCATGTGCTCCACGTGTTTGCTCGTACACGCTCTGAAAGACTGAAAAGTAAGCTTTCGTGAGCCAAACATGCAGCAAGCCAGCTGGTAAACGCTTCGACGATGGGATCCCAGCTCTAGGATGAAGAGCAGCAGCTGGACGCGACCGAGTCCCCGGCGAACGTCCTTACTTGCAGCCGGGGCAAAAGAGTGCTGCGCCGCTTGTGCTTAGACCCCTGAACGAGTCTCGGGGTACAAAGCTCAGATCAACCCGTCGTTGAATCCGCGCTGGAGTTTCCCGGCGAAATCAAAGAGATGACGGGAGGCCTAGTCCTGCTCACCTCGTGACATCTGGTGAGCCCTGAGACTCGAACAGTGCAACATGGAGTCCTTCAGATGCAGCCCAGGCTCCACTGCGATGCACGAGGCCTCATCGATCCACTTCGCCACTTCGGCCGGCTCGACGAACTCACCGGGCGCATCTTCTTCGGCATGGAAGTGGGCGCCACAGCCAAAGACTGCCATTCCTACGCCCTGCTGATCACAATTCTGCAGTTCTTTTTGCGACAGAAGATGACATGCGAAAGATCTCAGGTCGCAAGGTCGCTATTTGATGCTCAGGAGTCTGCCTAGAAGGCCTAGTGGCAGGCCTCTACTTCTTCAACAATCGAAACGGTTGGGCACGCGTGCTGCCCAGATCTGCAGGGATGTGACAAAGTGTTTGTATGTGTGCCTTTGCATGCTACAAAGCGCAGCACGAAGATCAGCGGAGGTACGGTTCTAGTTCGTGCTGCATTTTGCACCGCAGTGAGGGTGCTAATTTCGGAGCCGGCGAAGAGCAGCCGCCTCCTCCAAGGGAGAACACTGGTTTGGCAGGGGCTTGAAAACCCTAAAAGGCCCCTGCAAACAACAGGCTGCACCCCACCTGTCCAGTTCGCGTGGGCTGACAAGCATCTCTGCTTGCCTCGGCCGTACATCCGTCGAAAGGCTTTACGCACTGCCAAGGCCTTCAGCGAGATCCAAGCAAGGCAAAGCAGACCGGAAAACTTCAGTGAGAGACTCGATTATGACCTTTTTTATGAGCTTGATCATTCAGGCTGCCATGACGTGACATTCAAGTTGCCATGGGCATGTTGGACAGCACACTTGGAGCACACTCGGATCTGTACAGGACAGCATTTACTCGGTCTCTTCGGCCTCGGTTGCGTCATCCGGAATGCTTGTGCTTATGATGCCACCTGAGAAAACTTTTGTTGTGACTTTGCGCTGTGCCATCTCGGCGAGAAACTCGTCCTTGCCCATAGCCGCCGTCTCTATGAACAGAGCCTTGAGGTACGGTAATGCATCGACGAAGTAGATCTCCCTTGTTTTTTCACGTGCTCCTAGAAGCAGCTCAGGCTTGTGTGCCAACATAATCTTGTGAATCCTGCCCTCAAACTGTATGGCGTGCAAGCTTGAAGACATCAAGCAGATCTGAAGCGCACAGACAAGAGACAGCTTCGGCTCCACGGCAAGCAACTCCATCTGATAGGAATGGAAACGCTGCTGCAAGCAGGAGGAGCGCGTCCGCCCGACTTTGAAGTAATGCTCTCCCTTCGCGTCCACGGTCTGGAGAAGGTGCACGGTGTACCATGTGGACTCCGTGTTAAAGGCATTGCAAGCTTCGATGTCCAGCATGTTTAAGGCAAGTGCACTGCGACCCGACGCTGTCAAAGGCTTGTGCCACATCATCAAGTGCTTCTCAAGGGCACGGATTTTTTCTGGCGAAACAAGCTGCTGATCTGCTGATTCAACTCATTGATCGTTGTCATCTGTTGCTTAATAATCTCGGCATTGTGTGCGATGACAGCGTTTTGTTTCTGTTCTGTACGAGCTCTGGCTATGGACTGCAGATGCTGCAAGACGTTCACGTCACCTTGCCCCATGGATATATCCTGCACAGTTTTGATTGTCAGATCGCTGAGCACCTGAGTCTCCGAAGGAGGACTCCCCATTCCTCCTCCAATAGACCCAAGCACAGATGCATCCGGCATGTCTAGACTAAGTGCAAAGGGGGATGACGACATCACAACACTGAGCTTCAATAGCTGCAGTCGGGCAACTCCTCCTCTGTGCTCTCCTCTCTCCTCGTCTCTGCTCTCTTCTCTCCTGGGTGTGCAACGAGGACCCGGGCATCATACTTCTCCTACCGGAACCGGCTGATGCGTACGAGTACCTGGCAGAGCACTTAAAGAAGAACACCACGACGTCGTAACAACAGGCAGACCTCCTCGCGGATCCGCTCGAACTCCGACTCCGGCAGGACGAGGCCCATGCCTTCCGCGCGGCGCGAACAGCAGCCCGCTTCGGATTCTGACTCCGAGCTTCTAGACGCTCCAGCAGCCTGCAACTTCTGCCTTGTTTAGCGGTTTGGCCGCAATGCGGAATGCAGGGCAGAAGCATATCTGAGTGGAGCATCCAGCACACAGCACCCTCTAGTTGGACCAGGCGCGCCAGTGTCAGCTGTCGTCCAGGCCCGGGATGCCATGGCATCTTGTGGCTCCAGCTAGCTTCCGCTTTAGCATGGTAGTGACTAGTGAGGAGCTGAAGCCTCGGGACTTAGTGGGCCGCGGGGCAGTCTCGACGGCAAAGTTATGTCATCACGCTGTTGAAGCACGGATCTGCAAGGCGGAGGACGAAGTCGTCAGCAGATGCAGTGACAACAACTCCTGTCCGGATGTCGGGACACTGTTACAACCTTCAATGCTTTGTGTGTTGAAATTTCGGAATGAAGTACCTGGCTCGCCTCTCCAGAGGCATGACAACCCGACATCAATCGTTCTCTTTCGGTCCGCCTGCAGCTTGTACCGTGCAAGCTCGCCCTTTTGCCCCAGGCCAGATTTGACTAAATGCGGGGACGATGATGCACTTTGCACTGGCGTGGTCACCGTGCCCGCTGCGTTCGGAGCTGACGAAGGAAAGCCACCGCCTCCTCCGTGCAGAGCCAACGGCTTGAGCATCGTGGCCTGTAGACTGCGCCCTTTGCGTCATCAGTGATCATAAAACCTCCGTGCTGAGCCACGTCCTCACATCCGCCCGACTTATTAGGGCCCCAGGGCCCCCCCGGAAAGTCCTCGTCGTACTCGTCCTGAGCTTGCTCGAACTCCAGCTCGTCCTGGTCCTTCCACTCCTCGACCTGAGATCACACGTCGGAGACGGTGAACGCTGCCCGTCAAAAGGCCAAGTCGGGCAAACAAAAATCAAACTCTTCAAAACAGATTTTGCTTCAAATTCAATGAAAACAAGTGTATATTTTCCAGACACCTCGTCCCAAAACCCCCCGGATCGTAGGCGCAAAAATTCCGACGTCTGAAGCGTGTGCGATGTGCGCCGAACTAGTGGATGGCAAGCCGTAACCGTCGAGAAGCGCTGGCGAAACCTCCGCGTGAAATAGTTTTGGGAGGCTTCTCTGAAAAGCACGGAGACAAAATCACCAAACCCAGCGCTGACCTGCTTGCTACATGGCCAACAATCATTGCAGTTTCTGAGAGCGATTGCCATCACAAAGAACATCAAAGAACATAATACCAGCTCTGGCACATCTAGCAAGACAAGAACAAATGCGAATTTGGCTTCCAAACCTGCGCAGAAAGCGAGCGGGTGAGGCGAACCCCCCCTCCACCCCAGCCCACATTCGGTGTCTTGTGCGTCTGAACCTACCATGTCCGCGCTGATGTGGAGACTACTCTTCAGGTGCGAACAGCATGAAGAGCTTACAATGATCAAACAAGCGTCCGCGTCAGGCGCAACCGCCTTGGCGAGCTCGCGCTCGCGCCGGGCCTTGAGTGCCTCATGGACCTGCGGCGGCAGCAGGGGCGAGTGGGGCCCTGTTGTGGCGCATGAAGGCATGAAGGTGAAAGCACCCAACGGGCCCGCGGCCTGGGTGGTGAAGGACTTGAGCTCCTTGGGCCACTTGTCTGGATCCCACTTGATGACCAGAACGCTCCTGGCACGGGGCACCGGCACTTGCACAGCGGTGCAACCACCGCCTTGCGTGAGCCGATTCGTGCGCAAGGAGAGCGAAGGTCAAACAGTCGCCAGGATTCAACTGAAGCATGAAATCTTATCTGCACGCAACCCTTCAACCTCAAACATGCTTCTGCTGGCTTTTCTGTGATCGTTGAAGTGCAAAGGCTGTCTGTGCAGAACAATGCGTCCACTTTGATCGAGACACCCGTGTTGATGTTCAACCTGTGTCCTGTACTTTGAAAACTGCAACCCAGAGGCTGAAGCCACGACTTGTCAATGAAGGCTTCATGTACTGATAGAGCCCACTGCGACCATCCACAGCTGAATACAAGCCGGCTCTGCCATAGCTTGCGCTGAATCGACGGCTCAGCCTTGTGTCGCCGAACCTGCAAGCAAGTGGTTAACACTTGAATAAAAATCGTACAAACTTGCTGCATTACCTTGGCTCTGCTTGGTGCAGAGCGCGCAAGCATGGAACACTCTTTCGATGGCCTCGGCAAACCACTGCTCCAGTTCAGCACCGACCCTGGCAGAGAGCTTGCGCGGAGAGGGCTGGTGTCTCAGAGTCTCACGCCGGCCTCAGGAATGCCTGGTTGGGCCGCTCCGTGGCCTCGAAGCGCTCCACCCAAGCCTCGGGCAGCAGCCGCGCCGGAGGCTCCTCGGCGCTGTTTTCCATCTTGCCTTCAACCCCGATCCGTGTCAAAGGTTTTCAGGTCTCCGTTGTCAGGCTTCGTGTGAAGGCACCTCCTGATCATCATCGCTACAAGTATCGAAAGAACTGTGTGCCCGCGCATTAAGAGAGAACTGGTTGGCTTTCTTCTCTGCCTCCCACTCCTCCTTGAGATGGGGCACCTCAGACAACTGCAGCTGTTCGCAGTTGTACCCGCCACCAAAGTCGGAAGCTCGAGGGTTTGACCGACCCTGTGATTTGCGAGGGTTGTTCACACTCGTCAGTCTGTCGTGCGAACCGAAGCTTCTCTTCGGCGTCGACTTCGGTGGGCCTTCGACGCCTACGAGCCTGAAACTGTAGCGATGCCTCGGCCTCGCCTCTTGGCCCAGCGGTCCCCCCTCTCGCATAAGATTCCCGCCTTCTCGAAGAGCTGCTGGAGGAAGATGTCGACGGGAATAATAGGGCAGAGGTCGATGGCGCGCTGACCAATCAACACAAGGCGGACAAGAAGAGCTCAACATTGACGAGGGTCTGCTGCAGCTTACACTCTCTCCAAAAGTGCATGGTGCTCGAACCTTGAACAAGTCTGCAGCTTCCTCGTACTCGTGGCTCTTGTCCTCGCTGATTCTCACGTCTCTCTCGAAGGTAGGTTTGGCTCTTGATTCCCTCAACCCGAGAGAGAGTGTCTCACATCCAAGACTTACTGAACCATGAAAACGAAGTCCATAAGAGTGATGCCGAGCTCGACCATGACAAGGTAGTTATTGGGACAGAACCTCAGCAAAGAATGCCACTCCTCGTCTCGGCTACGAACCCATGCGCGACAAAACACCACCAACATCAGACGATTGCCAGCACAGAGAAAGAACACACCAAGCTGCTCGAGTGCCCGCCGAAGATCTGCGATTGTATTTGGCACATCCTGGCGACAGCCCGCAAGTACAGCGGCCCTCCTTTTGAAAGCTGTGGGGCCTTCATTGCGTTGTAGCACTTCGCTCGAAGGTGGTATCCCTCCCCCCAAAGAGGGTTTTCGTAGGCCACCTGACAAATGCCCGGAATAGCGGGAACGGGCTGACACTACAACGTTGCAATTGTTCCACAATTCCGAGCACTGTGAATCATCGCGCCCTACCTTGTCGAAGATTTTGAAAGCCTCATCCAGCTTTTTCTGCTTCATCAGCAGTCGACCTTCAATGACGACCCTGGAAACACCGGTGTACAACAGCACTTCCTCCACAAGGGCAGGTGCAGCTAAGCACTCGCACCATGGTCAACGTCGTTGTTCACCCACATGTTGAAATGGGCTGCCCATGTCTTTTTCAGACTGATGTGCGCCTGTCTTTGCCAGAACTTGATTCATGGTATTACCTTTCCTGTCGCCTGATCCTTGTCAGATGCACAGCTGCAGCTCGCCTGCCCCGCAACATCCTTGTCTGATTCCCTTGGTGCACCCGAACATAACCGGCCAAAGTGACAGGCAGCTGCATTAGTTGCTGCATCTACACAAAAAAGGCACGACTCGATGAGCTCAATGCCCGCCACGCATGCTTGAGTTTCGTAGGAGCAGCACTTTAGCATGCCAATCAGGATGACTTCGGCATCGTAACCGCCCCGCCTGCTGCAAGGCAGAGTGACAGAGGGCAAACGAAGGATTCATCCTCCCAAGCGCAGCCGCCTCATGGCCCAGTACTCAAGCTCGTTCAAGGCCAGGATTTTGTCCTCAAGAGTTCAGCAGCCGTTCTGACTCACTTAGAATTGTACGTGGGATCGAAAACCGGAAGGCTTTATGGAACGAAGCCAGCACGAGCAAGCCAGTACCCGAAAGACACAGAAACACACACACACACACACGTGCACACACGCACACACGCACACACATACGCACACACACACATGGGTTCCGTTCTTAAATCATGAAACTGGATTGCTTGCCTGGGACAGGAACTGCCGGAACACAGCTCCACAAATCTACTGCGGAGGATCCGACGTCAGAAACAGGGCAGATGGAAGCCGAAAGCCCTCAGTCCTCGCGCGTGGTCTTGTCACTCTGCAAGGTTCGTTTGCAGCGCTGCACAGCCTGCCGGGTGGTGGAATTCCGCCGTCCCCGTCAACACACAAGTGATAAGAGAATGCACCCAAAAGCCCAAAAGCGTGAAAACACAATGTCATCCGGATTGCCAGATCTACGCAAAGAGGGCCCTGCAGTCTGCAAGTGCTCCTGCTGCTGACATGCCAAACGACCGAAGGTGCAGGCTCGTGCGAACATGCCCAACACCCCTCCAAACCGCTTACCGGCGGTGAGCTGAGTGCTGAGGCATTTCATGCCAATCTCGGGCCTCTGCTTCTTCGCGATTCCAGCGAGTGCACAACTGCTCATAGGCCACCTCTCCAATTCTCGAGTAGGCTTGTGGCTTCGAGCTTGGGTTACAGAAAACTGATCAATACTGTGGCAGTGCAGGGGGTGGCTGATGGCACAAACCCCTTTTCAACTTCTTACCGCAAGACAGTACCTGGTCACCGCGTGGGTTGCGCCTCGTCGGATGACTTGCCAGGCTCGTTCGGCATGTACTGCTCTCGAGACAGCACATTCCTGCTGTATCGCTCTGCTCAGTCACTGCCACTCTTCTGCACCCCCGCCGTCCGTGCAATCTTATCCCAGAGTCCCATTAAAGACCCCGATGCCAGGACATCCTGGAGACATGACGTCGCCAGCCACGGCCTCGTTCCGCCCGAACAGGATGGAAGCACACTCGCACAGTCAAAGGCCGAAGCGGGCTGATTGCCCAGGCAAGTACAAGCACATGGACCAAAGTGAATAGTTCGAACAACACATGGTGACGATGCTCGAAAATGCGATAAGATTTGATGGGCTTGTTGATCAAATGTTGATGAATTTGTCTGGGTGTGTGGTGGTTTAAACTTCCTTTGCTTAACGCACTGCGGCACTGACCTAGTAGTGGTGATGTCGTGACCCCGCATGTATGGGACTTGCCCTTCATGCACTGATGCCTTGACCACATGAGATCGCGTGATATTATGTACCACGTACGAAGATTGATTTGCTCCGATGAATCGGTTGAATCGATATTTCATTGAGACGGGTGGAACGATCCTTGCTCCATTTGTGTTGGGTTGCATAGCCACCTGAACAACCTTTACATGACGGAGGTGTCTCTGCATTTACATACTAGCACTCTTACTGCTCGTGTGCTGGGCATTCAGGTCGGAGCAACAACAAGTTCGATTGCTGGGTTCAGGACGCACCCCTCGTGGCCACGTGTGGACACGAGGCACCTGAACAGAGAAAGCGTGGCACGCTTGAATGACTGAACCCACCCAGACCTTCAAGGTCCAGGCCTCGTACACCACAAAGCCGAGCGCGCCCCAAAGTGGGACCCAAAAAATCCAAGGCCAAGCTGGAGCCAGGCCCTTGTTTCGGCTCGGCAGGCCTCAAGAAGCAGACAGGGCGACGTGTCATGGCCTGATGTTTGCAGGTGGAACCCTGTGCACGGCTTAAACCTTCAAACCCACGAAACTGAGCCAGCCACGCGGAAAGCTTTTCTCCAATCCTGAACATGACGGGAACGCGACACTCGATTTGAAAGTCAATGGTGTCGGAAATGTAAAGACTTTCACCAGATGCCCCCGGGCATCTGACAGTCTGATGTTCAAACATGCGTTCACCACTGGCACTTGGGCACCAACCTCGCACTTGAAAAGCGTGCGACGGGAACACGTCCAAAACTGAAGCTTGCATGGCACAAGGAAGGACGTGACCCGCAACAGAGATCGAAAACCTGACCTAGTGGCAGTACTGTCTATGAGCTGCCCTGAACCATAGTCATAAATTCCCACTGCTTGTATGAATGGGTGCTCCACTGCCTGCCTCTTACCATGAGCGACTGACCGGTGGCATGACATGCAATGAACCATCTACGGACAAGCCGTACCGGGGTTCCCTGTGAGGCGCTCGATCCAATAGCGTAGCGTGGCATGCATAGCGGCCAAGCTCCGCCTGAAGGACCAAGATGGAACTTGTGAAACAAAGTAACATATTACAAAACTTGGCTGATACAGGTTATTTCTCTGCCGAGAAACTTACTACCTGCAAACAACAACCGTAGTTTGTGAGAAATTGTGTCAAAACACAAATAATGTCGTGCAGATCAACTGTAGATGGAAGTGTTGGGGCAAGGCCAGAGTAGGCAATCCAAATTCAAAAGCACCGGAGCGATGTTCGAAAACATCATCCTGACTTTCCACAAGCACCAAAGTTAAAGTCGAAAACGCGGAAAATCACGTTTCTGGACCCTTGCATACTTGAGGAAACTCAACGGCGAAGAGCCACCACGAGCAGACGTTTTGCATACTTAGGAAATTCAACAGTAGTAGCAGCCACATGCAGCAACTTGGCAGAGCCACCGCAAGCAAATATTTTGAGATGTGCTTTCAAAACTTCTGCACGCTTTGAAAATTCCAGTTCCATGAACTGGCAGAGCTACCACGGGCAAACAATTGCGCATGCTTTTGGAAGTTCACACTTCTCGGCACGTTTCATGCCGCCTTCTTGAACAAGCCCGCAGTGCACCACCGGCAAACATGTGCATCTCGACCACAGCAAACCAAACCCAATCCGCAACATGCTACATGTTTTCTCGGCATGCAAACTTCCTCCATTAAGCAAAATTTTCCCGAAACGGGCCTTTGCACGCAAAGGCTGGAAGCGCTGAGGCTTCTTTTTAATTGCACGCGTGCGCGCTCTGAGACAGATGAAACAAATCGGTCAGGCAGAAAGAGACGTGCTTTTTGTCGCGTGGTTCGGCCTCTGCGACAGTGCAGCTGCAACTCGGTCAGTGCAAACGAGAAAAACTACACAAAGAGAAATTGTATAGAGTGAAACATCTATTCCGGCGGCAGGCCTACAAGCTACGGAAGAGCCCCACTCAGCCCGGGTGTGCCACTTGAGCTCTCCTTCCTTTTTCCCCAAAAGGGAACTGTTGGAATCCTCTCCTTTTGTTCATTCATTCATGACGCAGCATCCTGTCTTGCATGGACGCTTTGCGACCGCATCTCGAGAACAGACGTATTGTCCGGCGTGAAGCTGTACTAAGTACATTCCCACATACGGAAAGTACCCCGCCGCGTACGGCAAAGCAGGTACTTATAAGTAAACAATTGATGCTTCCGTCACTAATGACCAAGCAAGGCAGGTTGTCAGTGTTCATTATCTGTAAAAGAACTACGCTACAGGCATTCAGAAGAGTATTGCATGATGAAATGTAATCAGCCGATGTCTCTGAATCACTGAAGCGATGATCCGCTTCCGAAGACTGGCAGCACAAACGGACAGTCAGAGGTCTTTGCAGGCCCCGGGCAAATAGCAGTTGGAAAAAGCATGCTGCATGTCTGAATCAGTGCAAGGACGAATCGCTCGATCATCATCAGTAATCATAGCTGTCCATTTATCACTGCCATCCGGAAGCTGCCGACGGCCACTCAGAATGGAGCGGTAGTGGGCCTGCCCAAGGATGTGGCCCGGTTTGTTTGAGAACTGTGATGAGCCGGTACTTCAGCCAAGTGATATGCAGGCCTTGGGCACTCTCAAAGAAGGGCAGGTCAACAGCAGCTCCAACCTCAAAAAGAAATATCGCCAGATCCTTATGTACTGGCCGTCGACTAACCTTCTGAGACCATCGCTTAAGTTGAAAGAAGAGCACCATTGGAAACTCACATACCCAGAGCTTCCAAAGATGTTTAA